TCCTACGAAATCCTAAACCAATACACCCCCCTTAATGTTTTAATTGTTGGAAGTGTGAAAAGAGAGAAAAAAGGAAAAAAGAGAAGAGACTAATGTGAAAATCAAAAAAATTAAAACGTTCCACTAAAATAGATGAAGAGTGGAGAGAATGTAAGATAGTATATGTGTAAATTAATAGGTGAAGGGAATGAAGTGTATAAAAAAAGGAGAAAGTGTTATATTAAACATTGGAGATAAAAAAGAAAGAAAGAAAAAGATCATGCAAAGGATTAAATGTATCTTAAGAATTTATTTATAAGGGAAAAAAAAAAGTATACCAAAGAGAGAGATGTCACGAGCCATCTTGTAATTGTTAAATCACATGTTATTCGTTCAATGCTATTTTTATTTTCCTGTAGCTTTACGTTCATGAAAAGAAAAAAAAATTCTGGATTAAGTTTTGAAGCACACATGTTTGAGTATTTCATTTTGTGTGTGCTCCTTTGTATTTTTATGTTGGCTGATGATGTAACTAGATCTTCTCAATCTCTACATATTTGGAATTAGTAGATCTATGAAGTGGGAATCATACGTTCAAATTCTTTTAAGGCAGAAAGTGCTTCGAAAATTGTGCTATAGAATAATGGTTCTATAAAGAGCATCCTGCTCCAACTATTGTGTTTAAGAAATGTCTTATTATATATATATATTAAAAATATTACATTAAATTTAATTGATAATAGATAATTGTCTCAATTTATTACTTTTAGATATATAATTAATAATTTAAAAGATTAAAATAAAAATTTTAAAATATTATAAGATTAAAAATAATAATTTTAAATTAAAAAATTTACTTTAAATTTAAAAAATAAAAAATATATTTAAACTTTATATTCATATTTACAAATTGTCAAACGATGAAAAAGATAGGATAGAAGTTATGTTAATTTTAGAATAGGTTTGATTTGTATTAAGTACGGTCGCAAAATTATGCATTTAATGAAATTGAAATGAGGACAAAAAAAGCTCCACTCCTCCCTCCACTACTTCGTATGAAATTTAATGTAACGGACAAAAGAGGCACCAATTATCAAATCACCGAATCAGTTACAGAAATCTTTGATATCATGTCAAAAAATTCTATTCTCTTCTAAAGTTATACCGTCATATGGATAATAAATAAAACAATATATTATGCATAAGAAACATTAAATAATTTTACATTCTCATCGATCATAAATTATTCTATAAAAATTATCTTAATATGTATTAGTGAATTTGAGACATTTCATATTTTTAAATTTTATTTAATAAAAATATTTAAGAATTATTAATATTTATTATATAAAGTAATATTATATTTAATTATTAAATTTCAATATTTTGAGTTTGAGTTTTATTTTTATAAGAATATTAATTTTTAAGATTATTTTTATCATTTAAAAATATAAAAATAAAATCATCCAAAATATATATATACTAAATCAAACATTATAAAGCAATATTATAATACTTTATAGATTGTATTATGTCTTCATCATGGTTTCCCAAAACTAATACTTTATAGATTGTGACGCGTTGCGTAAGAAAGTGATCCCACACGTTCATACAACGAGGATCATTGCGATCTTAGCAGACACAATGACTATTCCCACTTTAACCACCACATTTTAAGGAACACCCAAATAGAACTTTAGAACCAGCTGCATAAAAAAACATTCAAGCGTCCACATTAAGTAGAATTTTTGTTATTCTTTTCTCGCGGGATATCTATCATGAGTAATATTATTGTCAGAACAGAGATCCTCTTTTGTTCGAATGTTGTTTAATCTCACATCCCATAAATTACCATAATATTATTCCTTAAATGGCACTTGCAGTAGAAAATCAAGAATCATAGTCAATGGACCAACACAGCAATACTTCCACGGACATAAACGACAACTAAAGCAAACCCTTCTTCAATAAAAGAAACCATTTATTCAGTAGTGTAATTAAGTTTCATGTCAACAATACATGGAACAAATTATAAACATTGAAAGGAATCTGAATAAAGCATATTGAAAATTTCAATCCTTCCCCTTGACACATTGTTCACGAGTAATTCCATTCATGCGATTTGTGACATTCATTTCAAGCTTCCCAATTTCTATGTCCACATCCTGAAAGTTACCATTCATGTGATTTGTGACATTCATTTCAAGCTTCCCAATTTCTATGCCCACCTTCTCCAAGTTACCCTTTTCGGTGTCCCCTTTGTTTGGTTCTTCCACAGCACTCCCTTTTCGGTAGTTAAAGTAAATTACAAGTTGAAGAATGCCCAAGGGAGTTCCAATCACACATGGCCCCTATCATTGTGAAAGAAATAAAATATCAGTATTTGGAGTACTAAATATTTTTTTTCTGAATTTATGAAATTATAATTGAAGAGACCATGAAACATACCGCAACGAATATATCACGAATGAGTAGTCCATAAGTCAGCCATAGTAAAGTTGCTAAGAATGAGCATACGGATAACGGTAGTGGCATAAATTCCACGCTCTTGGTTTGTATAACTTTCTTCTGCAGAAATAAAAAACGAAACATTGTTACAAAATTATTATTTAAGCCATCATATAATATACCATCTCAGTTAATTGAATATATCGTATAGCATAACTTTTGTTTATTTTAATTAGTGAGGTTATATTTTATATATTAGTATATTGTTTGATACTTTGATGGAACTTCTCTGTTTCTCTGTTTTGGATTTGCTTTCTATCAGTTCCCATTTAACTACAAGAATCTAAGCTAGTAGTAACAGAATATTACAGTGAAGGACAAAGATAAGTCACTCACCATGACAACTAGGGGTGATGCGTACATTGCAACTGAAACACCAAAGCCAATGCTACGCACGAGAAGCTTTTGGTGACGATGATCATGGAATGCAAAAGCTGACACTGCAGCAATTATGCTGAACAGAAGCAGAACTGGTATTGCTGTCATGGCCACCTTTCTCTGCAAAAGAAAATTATACTGTGTTTGCTTTCACGTTTGAAACGTGAAAAATAACGTTTAACGTGAAAGTTACAAGTATAACTTTCGTTAAACGTGATTTTTCACATTTCAAACATGATAGCAAACACGCACTTACTCGTCTCAAAAATCACATTTTTTGCTTCTTGTTTCTACATATATTTTTACTATGAAAAAGAAATGACTTAGGTGGTGCCAAACATTTTCATAAAATAATAAAAATGAAAAAAGTAACTATTTGTCAAAAAAAAAAATTTCAAGCAACGAAGTTAAATTGATGAAAACTTTATTGCATATGATTCAAACAATTTTGACACATGAAGAGAAGGATGAAGTGAAGCTAACCTTTCCTTTGGCCGAGGCATACCAGAAATAAATGAGAACATAGGATAACTCAAGAGCAATTCCAACTCCATTAACAGTGGCCAGAGGGAAATTTTCCGGCTTGTAGCTTACAGCAGGCAAACCGTACCAAGCGTAAAGGAGACAGTTCAAGAGTCCAATGATGTAAGGAATGCACGAAAACTCTTCTGTGCTTTTCTTCCTTATAACTCTTTTAAAGGTGACGCTGAACATGAAAAGCATGAAAAGCGTTAATCACTTTATACATTCTCTGAAGTTATTATAATGAGATATAACTTATAATGTTATATGCCTAACATACATTGGTGCAGCGTAAAGGGAAACTGAGGCTGCATGGCCTGCAAGAAAGAAAGAAAGAAAAACATTCTAATGAGCCACTGTTTTTGAAGACTCAAATAATCACAATCCTAAGTTGTAAGCTTAGGAATGAATGAATAAACGAAGAAGTACCAAGAACAGCAACAGCCAAACGAAGGTTCTCTGGCATCTTTTGTTCTTTTAGTGAATACTTTGGGGTTTGAAGTTTGAAGAGGTGAATATTTTATACTGTGTTGAGAAGTGCATCGAGAAAGCTCTATTTATAACAACAGCTTGGGAGTACTATTGAACGCGTAGGGTCAAACATAAAATAATATATAATTTAGAAATGAAAACAATATTTAAAAAGGAAGAAGTGCTGTCTACGTCTTTAATATTTATGTGGATGCAAAATTTTGTACAAATTCAGAAGCTTTCCATCAACTTGCTCAATATAAGAGTGCTCTTCCAAATTCCCACCCCAAACCCTCCTACTTTTTATTTCTTTTTCTTTATTTGCTCCAGTTTTAGCTTTTAGGGGCTTATGATATGGTGAAGCACGAGACAAAAACCATTATTTGCCCTAAACTCTGATGTTTGATGCCTTCATTTTTTATGGTATTTCATGTTTTCTATAATATTTTGGCCTAATAACTTTGTTCTTTCTGTTTAAATTATCAAGTGCTTCTGCTTCTTTTTTTGTTGGTAAAGCGTTTCAATAGTGCGTTTCAAAACATTACTAAAATGATCTACTCTTCATGATGTGGCTTCCATTTTGTAGAGATATGTGAGAGTTATTGGCACATGGCCACATATTAACTTCTCTAAACAGGTGTTAGCAGACTAAGTGACAAATTACGAGTTTTAAATAATGACATGTTTTAACTTTTTCCTTTGTAAATTGAAAAATGTAATTACGTATTATGTAAAAATTGATGGGATCACATAATTTCGAACAATAATATTTTTTTGAGAAATTATGATTTTATATTAAAAAATTAATGAAATAAATTTTAATTTATAATATATGCATGTGTGTATTTATTTATTTTTTTTAATCAAAATTGTGGTACATTTAGATATATAAACAACGTCGTTAAAAATTCAATAATTTACTACCGAAAGAAAAATTGTTCAGAAACTTAACTATAAAATTTACTAGAAAAGGTAAAAGAATTTTCAAAGAGATTAAGAATCATTTTGGATAACTCGAGAAAGTTAACTCTTCGAAATGTTCCGTAATATATTTTTTGAAAGTATAATGTTCCGCAAGTTGATTGATGGATTATTGTTTAAGATTTTTATTCCAAAGAATATTTTTTTAAAAGATATTTCTTCTTCTTCCAAAAAATAAAAAAGAAAGAAAATACCTAATATGGTATTTAACTATTTGATGAAGTTTTTTTTATAAATATTTTCTTTTTAAAATAAAATAAGCATTTGCAGTTAGCTTTTATAAAAGTTATATATTTTTTTTATTAACAAACAAGTTACTTTTATTTTAAAGATTTTTCAAATTTTATTTTTTCCATTTGCACTTTCTGAGGAAATGAAATTTTAAAAAATCTATATAACAGTGCGGTGCATGGGGGTGAAGTTATTTTTACTTCCATGTCGGTCGGGGTCTGAAATTCTATTAATCATATTAATAGTACTTGGCACAACACTGCTTGCTTTCATAGTAATAATTTAACTCTTCAAAACTAGAAAATTGTACTTCAGATAATAGAGTTCTTCCACAATGGTTGATTAAAAAATCATTGAGATATGTGATAATATTAAATACACATATAATAAAATTTATAGTTAATTATAATTTTAATGGTTAATTTCTTAATTAATAGTTATATTGTATTATCCCTACACTTCCCTTTTATAAGAATCAAACCTTTATAGTAATATCATATTCATCAATCACAAAATCTATCATAATTAGTAGTTGCAATCATCAAAGATTTGATTTCTAATTATGTGAATGAAGAAAGTTTTGTTTGAAGAGATAAATTCTACCGGACAATTCTTATGTTTAGAAATCAATTAGTCTCGAAATACCAATTGAGAAATATTTGTTTTTGTGTAATTTAAATATAAGTAATATTATATATACAATAAAAATTGTATAACAATTTATATAACGTTATTTTTCTTATCTATCTTTTTATTATTTTATTTATTGTAAAATGAAATATTATTAATGATAAAAAAATAAATACAAAGATAATATTAATGTTTTTCTTATCTATCTTTCTAAAAAAAAAAAATTCACAATTTTTTTCCTAATACATAAAATATCGTGAACTTTGTCCTCACGTAAACATATTTGACAGATTAAAATAAAAAATTTCACAATTTTTTTTAATGTTGATAATTTAAAAGAAAAGGTTATTTTTCTACGTAGGGGCAAAATTTACGATATTTTATGAATCAGGAAATGATTTGCGACAAAAATTCTTTGTTGATGATTAGGGCCCATGCATGTTTATGTTACGTACATGGGAATGTGATGAAAATTGCAAGAAGAGGACATGAAATTTGGATAATTAGTCCAAGTTCTGTTTGTGTGTCAACTCGATGTGGCATGAGAATAAAAATATTATATATATTAAATATTAATATTGGGATATCACTCAGAGCCAGTTGGAAGTCAAAAAGGAGACAGAAGCAGCAGAATTTGTCACTATCACACTGGAATTTAGCTCCCTTTATAGATCTCACATGCCCCTTTAGGCTTCAAAACTTAATGGCGATTATTACTCCACTATGGTGTAATGTTGGACATGCAAAATGTTTAAATTTAAAAGCACTAGTTTGACCTTCTTAGAAGGAGAATCAAATTGCATGGTGGCTGCTACATAAATATATTTATATGTAACAAGAAAATTGGATCTGTGTCACTGCCTTGTAATTCATGAGTAGGATACAATGCAAGTTATGCAGAATCAACCATAGTGGCCGCACTCTATAAAGGCCGTCCTGCTCCAATATATATATATATATTGGTTTGTAAATTTATTTAATTTTTTTAATTTAAAATTATTTTTTAGTATATATAATTTTAAAAATATATTATTTTAATTTTTATATTCAAATTTTATTAAAAAAAATCTATCAAACATTATCACATAAAACATATTTATTAATGTTTTTATCAGTGAAAACATTACATTATGGTGGATAATTATTTCAATTTATTATTTTTAGGGTTTATTGATATTTAAGAAATTAAAATAAAATTTTTAAAATATTATAAGATTTAAAATAATATTTTAAAATTAAAAAAAATTACTTTAAATTTTAAAAAATAAAAATGTAACAGCCCATTTTTCGTGGGCCAAAGGCCCAATTCGTGGCCCAGAACGGGCCGTTTCAATTTTGAAACGGGCCGTTCTGGAATAGTGAGTATGACCAAAATTGTAGAAACAGAACGGGCCGTTCTAATGGGAGAACGGGCCGTTCTAGTTTGGAGAACGGGTCGTTCCAATTGAAAAATTTACGTAGGTTTGAAGGGCCCAGAACGGGCCGTTCCGATTTTGGAACGGGCCGTAGTGGTAGGTGGGCGAAAAATCCTATAAATAGGCCTCAAATCCTCTCATTTCTACACACCTCTCATTCTCACTCTCTCTTCTCTTCTGTTCTCTCTTTCGTTCCTCTTCTTCTCTCTGAAGACCAAG